TTTAAAACAAGTGAAATGAAGCTTCGACCACAAAACCATAAATAACTGTAGATCTTTTTATAGAATGATAGACACTGACTCTTTTACGTCACTACTTGATTTTCAATGCATTGTGGGATCAGTTTATAGAGAAAACAAAAGAAATCGGCCATGTTACGTTCTAACCCAATCCTGCAATGCATTGTGGTGGATACGGTATACGTACGTAACGCAAAAGATTCAGAGATCTATTGATATATAACGAATGCTCTGATTATTTCTGTATGTAGAGCTCAAAAATACATGCTGGAATCATTTTTTTAATAATATATATATAATTTCAAAGAGGCAAGATTTGCTGTGACTCCGAGTTTCGCGCTACGCACTCATCAGACAGTATTTAGTATAATTAGCTCTAMACTTWATGTGTATTGAGCATTCTTTAATGGGATCAACTACTTCCTCATACGATAAAATAAATAAAGAAATATAGAAAAGAAATTCATCCATACTATTAAATTCAACGTATGTCTATTTGTTACAATAGACTTTTCATTGAAAAGAAAAGAAAAAGAAATATTTCAACACGTCAACACGCTTATCCTTTTTACACAAACATTTGTAAAGAAAAAATTCACCCAATTTGACTAGTGCAACTTCTTTAGCTTGCATAACTGATGCATGGACACTGTMAACTTTGKGGAACCTCGTCAACAGCTCCAACTKCCTGTTATATACTAGGAATTGCTTAATCCTTTAGCCTTTTCAGTTTTGCAGCGCAGGTCAARRTAGTTAATATTCTACGTTTTTGGAAACAGATTTGCAGCGGTAATCAATGCAAGTCCTTTGCTGAGCTGAACATCAAGAAATGTCCAGTGGTTAATGGAAAAGTGTGCAACGGACAGGGAGTACGAAGATTTGCTTTTTGACTTTTTGAATTTGTACTTACTTTACAGAATAATCCCCTTCAAGCTCCCCCACGCCATCTTGAAAGGAAACCGTGCCTTTGCATAGAAGAAAGACAACCGTTGTGAGTGCAAGGATGGAAATTACCTTTGCTCACGCACCTGCTGACAATTATTCACAGCAGTTCATCCATAATTGCATGACCAACAGTTGTCTCGCTTCGATGCAAAGCTAGCACGATTACGTTCTAAGATCACGCTTGGAACCGTGATGGAGACTATTAGAGATTTTAATCAAATTCCATTTGAAAATTCCAATAAGCAATTAAATGTACTGGGACGACATTTTTTGCGGCAAAGCATGATGGTAGTTTTAGTCGTCGTACACATTTTCATGTCCACTAAAACAGTTCACCTGAAATGTTTTGCTTTTTCTAAGGAAAACCGGATGTTGTGTTGCCGTTTCTACAAAGAAAGCGTAAAAAAGGGTTTTAAAGGATATATATTCCAGTGTCTATAATCATAGTCTCCTTCACGGTTACCTGCGCCATCTTGAAAGGTAGCCGTGCCTTTACATGCAAGCGAGACAACCGTTGAGCGCGCAGTGATAGATACCTGTGAATAATTGTCTGTAGGTGTGAAAGAAGGTTTCTATCATTGCACGCTCAACGGTTGTCTCGCTTCGATGCAAAGACACGGCTACCTTTCAAGATGTCGCAGGTAACCGTGAAGGAGACTATTGTGAGGACTACAACGACCATCATGCTATGCTGCACAAAATGGCGTCGCTACACATCGCCTATGCCATGAATGATTGTTGCGATTGTTCGATTGAGTGATAAATGTTTACTATATTTGAGGTCTGTACAAGATCTGGAGCATGTCATTGCCATGGACTCTTTGATCCTAAAACAGGCTGCAAAAACGGTGATTCATTGCATATTTGTCTTTCAAAAAATGTTGAATACTGAATACTGGGATGCAGCATAACGCATTCCAAGACCGCAATGCATTGTTGCTATTAGACCCCACCTTATCTGGGTTTATTATAGCTTATTCTATGTTCGATAAGAGTACACACCACAGAAAATCCAAAGTGAAATTGTGAAATCACTTCGCCATGGAATATATGACAATTTCATTCAGTACTTCCATCATACTTGCTATTCAACGTTAGTTCTCTGTTGTTAGAAATGTAACAGACTTTTTTGAACACCCTATACTCTTATTTTAATTGCTAACAGCCCTTCTCTAATAGCTTTTGCGCCTCAAAATGGTGGCTTCAGTAGTTGGTCTGATTGGTCCAAGTGTACTGGTGTTTGCAATGGCGGGAAACAAACTCGACATCGATTCTGTAACAACCCGTTCCCAATGTATGGCGGGAAAGACTGCCAAGGAAAACTGCATGAAGAACGGGATTGTAACACAAAAGCTTGTCCAAGTAAGTAGCTAAAGCTAACAAGACGAAACCACGAAATTGACGGGCTATGAACTTACTTAATTTCATAACATTTTAGAGGCCAATTCTTGTCGACATCTCCAGTTCATTTCCACCTCAAACAACCAAATCTTCCACGACGGAGTGTACGATATCTATCCCAGAGGCCCCTCCAATTCTCCAATCAAAACGTATTGTGACATGTCACGTGATGGAGGTGGATGGACGCTATTGGTTTCTAGTGCAACAAATACATGGACTGCGGATGACGTAATGTCGAGGAATGCTGGCAAGCCCAGCTTAACCGATGACTACTCCATACTGAAATATGCTGATGTTATCAAAGATAATCAGAAAGTCCAAGGATCAACATTTGAGTATCGTCTGGAAGCTGACAGACCAGGTTAGAGTTATAACTCATTATTAGTATCAACGATAAGCCAATCGCCTTTCAACTATTCCAATGTCCCTTTATGGAATAAAACGGATTGCTCCCTTCTCATATTTGGATAGTAGTTATTGCACCTTGTTTTGTTTAGGAATTTATTAGTATTCTGCCCCTCTTCTTTTCTTGGATAACAATATATTGACTATAGGAATCATACAAGGATCCCTAGTATTAGATCTTAGACGTTAATAAACACCCAAGGTGGGGTGGGGTGTGCTATAAGACGCCAGTGCTCTTCCATAGAGGTAGTGATTCCAATATTCTTCGATTGCAATGTTTTTCCACATCAAAGAATTGCCTCAGAAAAGTTTCCTTCGTTTAGCAGCCATATATGGCGGTCGTACTTTATTTGGAATTGTACGTGTGGACTAATTTTTGGCGGTATATCTCGACTTTTAAATCATAAAATCGTCTGAACTTGCAGATATTATAGCGAAAACACTTTTGAACAATCGGCCATTTTGTTTGTTTCCATATATGGCATAGATTTCCTAAAGAGAGCCCAAAACTACATTGCCCAGGGATCCCGCACGAATGACATTTCTTTGATATAGAGTGGCACATATGGAATCAATAAGCTAGGCAACGCTCTTTATTACAGTTGAGTAAAAAGATAAATTTAACACTGAAACGTCAGTAAGTGTTTCACCAATTTTTTACGGTGTTAAATTTCTCTTTTTACACAAAGTGTTTCTTTAGAAACACCGGCGACGCAGCTCACACTAGCTTCATCACAAAAAACGTTTCGAAGTAGTGAAAACTATTCTTTGTTTAATTTTATGTTGTTGTCATCAGGTCGATGGGGCGGCATATGGGAAGCTGATCGTTCGTACACATTCACAGCCAAAAATAACAAACAAACCAGCGTGCGACTCCTAAAGAAGTTTGATAACTGGACGTACAGTAGTAACGGTAAAGGAATTGGTAAAAGGATGCCTTGGATTTCAGGAGCTTTGCTTACAACATCTGCAAATACAAAGAATTCGAAAAGAGCTTTTGGTTCTGTCACAGGTAAATTGGACATAAGGAGTATTCGTTGGTTGGTGCATTGACCCGTTCTTGCAGTTGCAAGCAAGCAAATAGGCAGGCAGGCGGGCAAGCAAGCAAGCTTGTTAGCTGCAGAATGATTGTTTTGCTCATTGATGGGTTAGCTGCCTGGTTGAAAGACTGATTAAGTAGGGATTAGCTATCTATCGAGTTAGAACTAAGTTGAGTTGAATTTGAGTTAGGCATTGAGTTACCATACATTGAATGTATGTCGGAATGTGGTTGTAGAGATGATGTATGTGGATGGGTGGTAGAGAGAATGTATTTGAATGTGGCTGTAGAGAATGTATTTTTAGTGAATGTGGCGGTAGAGGTGCATATGGGCCACCATAAATGAGGTTCCTCAGTGAATTTCTTCAACTCGGATTATTAGGATCTTT